CCATCGATCGCCAACATTTCCGGGAAAAAATATTTAGGTGCCCTTTTCAATACCCTAAAGTGCCCCTAGAAGTCGGTGCCCCCCAATCTTTTGATGCTTCCTACGTCCCTGGTACTGTAAATAGCTTTATCACGGTTAAAACGTAAGTTGTGTCTGTTTGTCAACAAGCTAAGGACTTGTCAGTACAGAATGTAGTTTATCGTTGGCATAACATAATTGGCGTTTCGGCATATGTCTGAGTGGTTTGAGTGACATAAAAATAGATGAACACGTGTGTTTACAGTACTTGGAGCTGTATATTTTCAGCATTTGACGCCAATGGACCCAATGGTTGCGTTCATTAGACCAACATCTGGGAATTGTCTCGCTCTGGCTACGTGATCATGAATCTGAATACGTCTCTCGTGGAGTTTGAGGTTTCTCGTGGGTCGTGGGTATCATGAGATACAAGGAATCCCGCGAACAGTGTGATTTTATGCCCTTCATTGCCATACGAGCAGTAGTGGTACAGAGGGCCTTTAATTATTAAACTCAATTGGCATTGGTGAATTTGGTGTAGTGGCTCAAGATTAGAGGCTTCTTGTTAAAATTCCTGACACTGACTGACTCAGTTACGGATTGCGGTAAATACGTAAGCTGATTGCCTTCAATAATGAGCTATTAATTCCAAGATTATGATTTATTTACACATATGTATAATACTATATACGTTTTAACATTTACGTTCACTAATCCGAATTATATTACAAACTAAATTAAAGTATGGACGAACTAAATCAGTGTTTGATAATATGATTATGTACAAACAATTTGATAATACCATTAATCAACAGAAATCTGACCCACAGCTAACCTCGTTCCCAGGATCTTATAACTTCGCGAACATACCGTAGCCTGGGGAAGAGAATAAAACATCCCGTTCGTCCCAGTTCGGTTCAAAGGGTATATTCTTAAAAGCCTGATTCCCCGACGGCGAAATTCTACGCGAGGAATTGCGTCTGCGAAATACGGATGGTTGCACATGAGAGATTTTGTTGAATTTCCCCACTTTTTGCGCTTTCGTCGTGAGTAGAACTGACTTCCACTCGCTCTTGAAACGAATCTTCTTACGAAACCTAATTTACCTTTCTGCGGATGTAGTGATTCATTTCCGCGACATTTTTCACATATCGCCGAGAAAAAGCGCTCGTGGAATCAGGCGTTTAGTAAACGTGATGGTGGTGAAACGTACGTGCTGCAGATAATGGATTATATGTTGGATTATAATGATCGTCCCCAACCGATCATATAACAGAGCCGGTCCGGGAGGTTTTTAATTCCTTTATTAATTTAATTTAAAAAAACACACGCACAAATGTTGTCTACGTTGAAATTTTAAATTCTCGTGAGTTCCTTTGTGATGCGATTGGCGCATCACTCGATATTTGTCCAGGGGAGGTTACCAAATCTGTATACCGACCGCCCGGCCGGCTTTTAGAAACTGAAAAGGAGTGAGGAATTTGTTTGCTTGACGTCGTTGACGTGCCATGGTCAGGATGTTTAGATTGTTTCGGGTGATAATATGGCCATATCTACATGGTTTCGACGAAACAATAAAGTGGATGAGCATGTTGTCTGTTTACATGGCTAAATTTGCGGTGTTTGACGCCAATGCTTGCGTTTAATAGACTAATATTTGCGAGCCGTCTCAGCTAGCTACGTCAACATGAATGTAAATACGTCTCTCGTGGGGAGAGTCGTGGGTAAGGAGTCGTGGGAACAAAATAAGGCATGAAACAGAACTTAGTCGCACCACCCGCGCGCGAGTACAAGATTTGTGCTGAAAAATATGTATTTTGACAATTTTGTTGTATGGAAAATGTTGCGTATAATAACAAGAGCGGAAAATGTCATGCATTTCAGTCACGACTGTGCCAAGCCGTAGTATAAACATCCTTCGAAGTTGTTTATTTGCTGATATGATGGATGCATCCTGGCAAACGATCGAGTAATGTTTTCAGGCTGTATTTTTTTATATACAAACTTAGTCATAAATGACAGGTTAACCCTACGGAGCTTATTGCTCCATTTACAGGGTTCCTAATAATATGTATATATAAAAAAACACAAAAAAAAACATTACATTATTGGCAACACATTTTATCCACAAGACTCACAATTATTTTTGTCTGTTCGTTCTGTTCCAGTGTAGGTAGTGGCAATAATAAGAAAGTTTAGGATTGATCGGGATGCATCTACCTGAAAAATACAAGGAAATCTTGGATGCTTCGAGCGAAAGCCCTTTGTCGGCAAGTTATAGTAACTTTAACATCAATGCAAGGGCGAAACTTGAGGGGGGGGGGTATGTGTGTGGGGGGGGGGGGTGACACCCCTCCAAAATACGAATCGTCTGGATTGGCAGGGCGAATCATCTGGTTTGGCAGGGCAATCAAAGATAAATAATAGCCATGTAGAGTTATTAAGTAACTTACAGGGCTTTCATAGGAAATTGAATATCATTTATAGACCTTAATTTTACAGATATTTGTCCAAAAATAAGGGTTTCACCCATTTTTTAACAGGAATTTGTACGGAAAATTTTTTTGACCGTTAATTTTACTGGTTTATGTGACTAAATTTTTCCGAACCCCTTTTTGGGGAAAATAGGTGCCAGAAATAAAAATTTGCTGCAGGGCATTACCGTCTTTGGCAGGGCAATTCTACCAGACACCCCCCGAATTAAAAGGGGCTAGTTTCGCCCTTGCATCAATGTTACTACATATCAAGTTAAATTCGACAAAGGCTTGGCTTCTTCCGGTCTTAATTACTGGCTTATTTTGGTCGCAATGCAATTAATGGAGCCGGTATAGTATTCAATTAATCAACTTGTAAAACACTAGCGCATTATTATTAATATTAAAAATATTACTCTAATTTTTACGCATGCATGCAGTTAGTGAGTTCCTCCCAAAGTTTTAAGGTACAAGGAACAAGGTATATTTTGCAATCGAAACAAGGCTCCAAAGCTGAAATATCATATATTTAAGCTTCGGGAACTAGAGAACATCTCAAACGAACATGGCCACACGATATCCATGACAAAAAAATCTTTGTTAAAACTAGTTTTGTTTAACTGAACATTGGCTACCGCTTGTCCCTGAGAAAGCCATTGGTAAATATTAGTAAATTAATTAAAATAAATTAAAACATGCAGTTATATCCTTGGTGTTTGTATGTGCGGGGCGATAGGTACCAAATTTTACGGTAAAATTTTGGAATTTCCTCCATGCCTCCCAATAGCATCTGCCCCCGTTGGAATGTTCTTTAAATGTTGTCTATCTCAACCTCGATTTTCCTGTTGACTGGGCTGAAAATCGTCATGTAATCGACGGAGAATTTCAGCCTGCGTTGATAAAAGAGCGATTAAAATTTTATTTCTGTCATGTTTGATCTTTACATGCAACCACAGTCTCGCAGAGGTGAAATAATAGACATGAACAACGTTTTAAATTCTTCGAAGAAGCAGAATAGCTGCATTTTGCATGAGACTTGATCATTTCAGCCAGGACTGAGATTTGACTGGCGCGGTTTGAACTGAAATTTAAATTCTCAGCTCGGGCTGAAACTTGCCATACAATCGTGAACAATCCAAAGGTCGTAGGTTCGATTCCCACCGTGCCCAGGCATATTTTTCAAGCTAGCTTGCCCGGTGTTATCTGATATACACTCAGAGTAACATCACAAATATAATTTCAGCTCACTATTTAACGGGTTGAAATTGAGCGCGGGCTGAAAACTCTCCATGCATGTAATGAGCCCTTTATATAAAAGAAAAACGAGTACTATTTTATACGATTTTTAAATTTTTTGAGACAAAACGTTTTCACCATGATACACGAACCACGCGAACCACGAAGAAAGAAGTGCTCTGGTTACTCCTTACGTCAGATGAGCAAATGACGTCAACGCTGCGTAAGCACCGGTCGATAGTCTTCGCATAATTGTGGCTAATATTATTAAATTCACTTTTATCATTAAAGCATGTAAACACTTGGCTGAAGAACGATTGATCTCTGGCCTGATACGAACCTAGTTCGTTTAATGTCCACCACGAAAGTATTACTGTAGAAATTCTCCTCTAAAAGGGATATATATTTCACTCTCTCGCTTTTGGTTCTGCGAGCGATTTTCGTCTATATATAATTATATATATATATATCAAGACAAGTGCTGTTGAATATTCGACATATCTCGGCTGAATATGATCAACGCTCATTGTCAGCAAAGTCCAGTTGTCTATTGCAACGAGAAGAAATTATACCACTTCAGAATTTTTGAATTCAAATCAGGTAGCTGTATATACACTTTTATATTATATGAAATTAGTTATTCAAGACTGTATAGTCACACGCTGTTTGATGTACAGTGAATTATAGTAATAATATTATAAGCTCATGACTGGCACTTACACGCGTAATACATACTATAATGTTATTGTGTAAACTGTATTGTACTTCTATAATTTAGTGTATATTTTAATAACGTTCTCAGGGAAAAGCATACAAAACCGGCTTATGTATGTTGAGATTGGAGTTAGCTGTTGAGATAGATAGTCTTGTGTTTATATTTTGGAAGCTGTTATATGTCAGCGACTGAAGATTGTAGCCGCGCTGGTTAATGTAGAACAACGAAGCTATATCTTATTCCTTTATTGTCAAAGTCGTAGCCACTAGAAATGTGCTGGGTAAGACAGTGCATTATTTCGCAGTGAATTTTACATCCTAATGTATGTATGATTGTACTGACTCGAGTATATACTCTTAGCCTAATGACGTAGACTGCATATAAATTGCACACAGTAGAATGTATAGAAAATTCCTTCGCTAAAATAGGATTGCAAAATCATTAAAAATGCAGACATTTTGAGTTTGGACTTTAATACTTGTGTCAAATACATTCAGTGAACTCGCGCAGTTGAGGAAATATTACAGAGTTATATTGCCAACGGACATCTTATGACGCACTTGCACTCACACAAACAACCTTTTAGCGCCTTTGACCTTAAACAACAAGTCGCACTTTGCTCTTATAAATTCTGCTTGCTTGAAATTATCTGAAAATGAGATTGGAGCGGTGATAATAGAGCATTTATATTGTCATTAAAAGATTCAAGTCTGGGCTGGAATTTTTTAATATAATTTTGCTTGTAAAGGCTCAGACATGAGTTCCATTATAAGCGAATATCATGTACCATTTATGAAATATTGCAAATATAAAATTTCAAACTTAAAATTGTCATAACTTTTAATAACTGGACCAATAATGTTGAAGCAGTTCATGTGTGAGCCCCGTTGTAAAATGGGAAATTTCCCTATCTTCTCTAATACAAAGCATTAATCTAAATACAAGGTGCTATAACAACCAGCTGGTCTATTAAATATATATATATGGATTTGAATTTTGCGCAATGTGTATAGATAAATAATAAATATATCTAGCCGAGCGATCTAGAATACTCCAAATCTTGCTCAGCATACGGGATTATTAGCATTTCATAAAGAAGTTCTTAACCACATTATTGCATGCATAAATTAATACACGTCTGGAAGAATCGTTAGGCATTACATTATAACCAGCGCTATAAGCTGTAAATTAAATATATGTTGAATTTTTTAATGCGTTCAGTTGTTTGTTTCTTGTTAGTCATTTTCATCAATTCAAAAGTGTCAAAACTCACTCAATGCTGGCAATACCTGCCATTAGTACATAAAATCATTTTCATGTATATATGGATTTATTGTCCGCCGTAACTAACCTAAAGAGTAAAGGCTTCTAAGATATAGCAAAACATTTTACTTAAAAGTATATATAATACGGTCGTTATACTGACCATAATGGCTCCTTGTTTTCAAATACGTTTATCTCTAATAGTTACATAATTATGATAAAAGCTTGGCTCAAGATGGAGTTTCATAATATGAGATATTTTAATGTACAAAACACGATGCGTACAATACTGTTGTGATGGCGAGGAAAGATTGCATCAGCCTGCTTTCCATATGTCCCATATATGCTCGTAATGCTCGTCAAAATAGAGTCATGATCTTTCTCAACAGCCAGTTTATAATAGTTTACACCCATCAGTATAAATCATAAGTATTCTCTTGTTCTAATCATTCCTCATATTTTTAGTTCTAAAATGTTGTATTTCAGCTGATGAGAAAGACCGTGACTCAATCTTTACGACCGTTACGACCATATGGAAACCAGGTTTAATTAAACAACTGTGCAGGTTCCACAAAGGGCTGATAGAGCTATCCACTATAGATAATCATTTTGAACCGTTGTAAAATTGCTAGAAAAGTTATAAACTACCAATATAAACTTCAAAATTAATAAAACGATTTCAAACTTTAATTCATTGACGAAGAATTTAGAAAGGTTTCCATCTCATATCAACGCAGATATTGCTAAATATGCTAAATATGCTATCCGAGTCAGGATTAGATTGGACAAATACCTGAACTCTGCATGTAGTATGCTTTGTGGTGGACCGCAGTTTTGGTTCTTCTCCAAAACTATAATTAAAATACACGTTTTAAATTAATTGGTCCACAACTGACGTCAAACTCAGCTTATTTGATTTTATAATTTTTGTTTAGTATTTTAATATTTGCATCTTTCCAAATTGATCAAAATGAAAAATATATAACATTAGTTGCGATATTAAGTAACATAATTGAAATTGAAAGAATTTTGAAATCATGCAGCGTGTATGACGTTAACACAGCGAAACGCTGATTCAAATTTAATTGATGAGAGTTGATCAGAGTCTTTGCTATACGTGCGCTGTGATATCCAATCATCTCTCATGCAACTCTTGTTCTCGTTTGACAGGGGAATGAGAGTTGAGAAAACTGTCATGCAAACTCTCGTTTCCCAACTCTCATCAACTCTCATGCAACTCTTGTTCTCGTTTGACCGGGGCATGAGAGTTGAGAAAGCTGTCATACAAACTTTCGCTTCTCAACTCTCACCAATTTTCATGCAACTCTTGTTCTCGTTTGACAGGGGAATGAGAGTTGAGAAAGCTGTCATACAAACTCTAGGTTTAACTAACAAGGCTTAACTACTCAAAAGCGCGATTCTGATTGGTTATCTTTTTGGTTATGTGATTGGTTAACTCCAGTTAACTACATTTTCATACAACGGCCCCTGGAAGCCTATGTTTGCCTTGATATGATCATGAAGCCGAAGCTCGCAATTATTTTGTTTTTCTAAAATTTCGTTAATTTCCAGTGTAGCCTTCTGCTGCATGTTTTTCGATATTTTCCGGAATTCCAAATTTTTTATTATTAATTAGTCTGGGAAAGCAGACGTCAGCACACTTCCAAGAATACGTCAAAGCGGTCAAGGAAATGAAGCACCGCAGGAAATGACCGCCCATCTATGACATAAAAAAATTATATGATCTAGATCGTGATTATTGTGGCGTGTATATGTCATGACTGACGTCAACATGGTCAGTAGGAAAGGATTTTACTGACATATTCTGTGCATTGATATTTTCCGTTTCAAAATATTGCTCCAATAGATATTCATCTGCTAATCATCGGGTTTTGGCTTATAAAGCTTCCTTCCTACTTCGAAATTCTTGGAATAATTTAAGCGCTTCGTCGGGGAACTACAATGAGAAATGTATATAGTCACTTTCATCTCCAAATACCGCCTAAATTCTATACTCATGTATTTGCACCCAGTTAATGACGGTTTATTAATCCCGTTGATTTTTTTAATTAAAATCATAATATTTTATACTAAGTACATCCATGCATTGTATGTATGAATCACGCAGAGTATAGGCTTTCTTGAAAAGGTGAAAAAACAAGCAAAACATGCTGATGTAAAATAGTAAAATTGTCTCTTCAAATTTGTTGTTCCTTATTAAACAGGCAATAGTGAAATATTTTTTCTGTTATAAACTCGAACGATCTGTGGCAGCGTAGGTAGTGACACTAGAAAACCGGTTGGTTTCAATGACCTGAATAATACAATTAAAACTTGCGAAAAAGGCCCTAGCTACAACTTCTCGGGCCTTCGCTAGAAATATCGAAGTTTTATCTGCATTTTTAGTAGTTGAATTTTTGCCAATCCGCACTTTTCTAACCGCAGATTTTTATCGCATGTTACCTTGTGCCAAGAAATTTGTCTTGCCAGTTTTACTGACATGTTCCAGAATGTATCAGAAGGTCTGACTCGACACACTTTGTTTCTGGGACTGAGTGGATAGGCATTCCTTTTGTGTGACATTACTTGTGTTTTGGGCACATTGACATTGTGTAGTCTCGCTGGCATTTTTCATATCCTTCTAATTATGTGTTTTACTTCTCAGCGCATGCCAAATTAAGTAATGCCGCTGTTTATAGTCATACGTTTTTCTTGTTTAGTATTGGTAATATAATACAGAGGTTCACATTTGATTTACTACCTCTCTCTGCTTACTCCGCATCTGAATGGTGAAACCGATATATGAAACGTATTTGATTGGTTAATCGGATATATGAAACGCATCTGATTGGTTAATCGGAAATATGAAACGCATCTGATTGGTTAATCGGAAATATGAAACGCATCTGATTGGTTAATCGGAAATATGAAACGCATCTGATTGGTTAATCGGAAATATGAAACGCATCTGATTGGTTAATCGGAAATATGAAACGCATCTGATTGGTTAATCGAAAATATGAAACGCATCTGATTGGTTAATTAATCGGAAATATGAAACGCATCTGATTGGTTTATCGGATATATGAAACGCATCTGATTGGTTAATCGGATATATGAAATGCATCTGATTGGTTACTCGGACACATGAAATGCATCTGATTGATTAATCGGATATATGAAATGCATCTGAGTGGTTAATAATCCTTCAATGGTAGCAGTAGTGGAAGTCAAATTTGAATCTCTGCATGTGTTATACATCAGCAGCATTATTTTGTGCACTCTTTTACGTAAAATATGTTTATTTCACCGTTATAGTTTTCACTTAGAGTTTTAATAAGCCAGCTTTCTGTGTGAATAACACCAAAGAATAAATCCAGGACTTTGTAATATTTCGATGTAGAAAATGAGTAAAAATTGACTTTTCATTGATTTTGCAGAACCGTTTTGTGAAGAAAGAAATGGCACGTTATTGTCAAGGTCATGTGACAATGTCACACAGAAGTTAAGACAAGCTGAAAGGTTAGTCGATGATCATGCACCTAATGCTTTTTTTGTATTGTTCCTATCTAGTCTGAATACAATCAGTGCGGACAAAATTCCTGATTTTAGCATGTATGTTAGCTTGCAGTAGATATTGAGTTAAAATTGTCGATAAAGTTTTACATGGCAGCAAAAATCACGACAGCTTTTTTGTGTTTAAAGGCCGATTTCCATTCAGTGCAAAATGTCGCAAGATCAACTTTTTGTGATCGCTTTCTTTTGAAATGTGTTCAGTCGACCTCGTCCGTTGCGTTTGATTGCTTGTTTTCAAACGAAAGTGATCGCAAAATTTCGATCGCGCGACATATTCCATTGAATGGAAATCCGCCTTAATAGTGCCCTTTTCCCATCATTATGAAATTTCAGGTTTTTCCACCGTTGATAATTGGACGTAAAACAATTGAAAATGAATCCCATTTGGAATTATATTCATGAATTTAGATTTAAAAAGAAGTCTTGGACATGTCTTCAGAGGTTTGACAGCCCTGAAAGTAATGGCAACAATTCCGCATTCATCGACCAGTACGAGCAAAAGAAGTGGCGGTTTACTTGATTTGTGTTTCTGCTTGTTTTACCAAAAATGAAAGAAATCTCTAGCTTTCCATTTATAATTTTCCAAATGGTATAATTCGGGAATCAAAAGAACTCCGTAAGAAGTGGATAAATGTAATTGCCTGCAAAGATTTCTTACCAACAACAGGCCATAAAGTGTGTTCTTTGCACTTTCCTGGAGGACGCAAAACCTACGCGAACCAGCTGGAATACGTGTCTGAATGTTCCACAGCATCCTCAACGAATTATCGATTAACAATAAAAGTACAGAATATAACTCCTTTATATATAAAAAAAATATACTTCGGGATTTCTTTTATTCTTGCTAAAACAACCAGGAACCCAAACACGTAAAACCACCATTTCTTTCACTCCTACCGTCGATGAATGCGGAATTGTTGTCGTTACTTTCAGGTCTGCCTAACCTCTGAAGACCCGTGCAAGAACTGTGGTCTTCATTGGCTTGAATAGCCTCTAAAAGGACGTCAGAGAACAGCAGCACACTCACCCACGACATTAGGTATTTTGGATTGTTTTCCTGCTGATGACTACTAAGACCAAAATTCCCCGCGCGCTTCACACCTTGTGACGTCATTAGGAATAAGGTCTATTGTTGTTACTTCTGCTTTCGTTCGTTATTTATAGCTTTTCCTTCTGGTATGTACTGCTTTAATCATGCACAAAGCTGCACAATGCAATTTTTAATCGGCTTCTATTTAGTCATTTCAATTCTGCTTGGAATGACACACGGTATTGAAAGCAGAAAAGCACGTTAAGGTTGAACGTTTCTGTTATACACTCAGTACATTTAGAAAGCTGCGGATTGTTCTTGATTGCAGGTAGTTCTGCGGATCGTTCTTGTTGTGTTGATTGATAGAGATTCAACTACCTGAAAAATGGAAAGAGAAATTTGTCGTTTCGAGCGAAGATCCTTCGTCGGGAATAGTGACAAAGCTGGCCATGGCAAATGGTCATGCTATGCTACTAAACCTGCATCTATACACGTTAAGGACAATACATTTCTAGAGGTTTGAATAATGCAAATGATTAAAAATTTACATAGCAATAGACCTTTTCCCTTATGATTGAAATTTTGATCTAGATATGCCTAGACAAATGCGAAGTTTGCCAAATACGAAGTTTGCCATTTTTCAGTCATTTTGCATTATAAACGGAAAATTGATAATCAGATGATCAAACTGATTATCAATTTTCCCATTTGTAATACAAAATGACTGAAAAACGGCAAACTTCGCAAGGTTATATTATCCGCATTTTACAACATTTCGGAACGAAACTTCGGAATATTACTAATTTTGTGATGCTCTTTCAAGCTGTGATTTTTGTCCAGACTTGTCTAGATCAAAATTTCACTCAAAAGGGGAAAGGTCTATTGTCATGGCTAAGCTCGCCGCTGGTCCGGAAATTAGACAGTCTAACTTCCCGATGTAGGGCTTCCGCTCGAAACGTCAAACTGTCGAAGTTCTTGTAGTTTTCAGTCAGTTGCATCCCTATCAATCCAAAACTTTCTTATTATTGGCAATACCTACACTGCCACACACCGTTCTGTACATTTATTAATATTTAAAAAACGAACTTTTAAAATAACATTTCTACTCCATGTTTATTCACACTTCCATTTATGTTTGCACTCAACTTTGATTTGTATATTTACATTGCTCTTCATTCATCTCCAACCTTCCCTTTTTCCAGAAACAAGCGCATGTCTGACTCGTTTCCATTCCACTTCTGGACGCGCGCGCCAAACCGACGTCATCAGCTGTTCAATCGAACCAAATCTTTACCAATTGATCTGAGTGAATGTGGACAGGACAATTTTTCTCGGGAAGATTCCCGTGATGATCAAATGTTACTTTCGAATAAATATACTTACACACGTGATAATCATTTGAAGAGAAGGATTAATGGGTTCCATAATAACAATCATGAAAATCATCACGGTTCTAGTGGAATGTTAAAGTTGGTCGAGGACAACAAAGGAGAGCTAAGTGAAGATAAATCAGAACACTCTACAGACTTATCGCATGCGGAACCACATAGCACTAACATCATGCATAGCGATACCTTGGTTGATGAACAATGTGCAAAGGTAAGACATTTAGCTGTTTAAGGGGTTGTTTATATGGAGCAAGCCACCTGGAGTACCCGAGCGCGCTCGATTATGGCAAAATTCTTCCTTAGTTTGTTATTTTTTCGTTTTAAATTTCTTCTTGCGTTTATATGGAAACCGAGGAACCCCCTCTGTTCCCCAGTTCAATGTTGTGGGGTACAAAAACTGGTTGGAATACGCCAACATTGGAATTGAGATTTTAACCGTGTTCTGGGAATACAATCAACATTGAACGATTGGCTAAAGTGTCACAGATGTTTTGTCCAGGATTGCAGATTGTCCCAAAGTTTTGTAGCCTGCTTAAGTTATCTCATGTAATCAAGGGTGAGATTTGGGTAAACAAAGACCGGGAAGCTGGCTCGCCCTCATTTCAACAGCCCCTGAACTTCAAAACTATTTTCGTGACTTATATGGTGTGCTATTTTATACCTCAATCTGAAAATGTTGTACTTTCATTAAATCAGCTAGCTCTGTTCTACAAGCATACTTCTACCTTAAAATGAGGATCTGAGTGGGTAACAACTGGACGAAGGAATTCTAGGAATTCTCTCCAATTGAAATTCGATAAGATTCGATTGTGATTGCCACTTTTTAAGGTTAAGAAAGCTCCGGCTTGATAGGGCAAAGCTACCTAAAAAATACAAGCAAAGTGACGTTTCGAGGGAATGCCCTTCGTCGCGGGACGTCAGTAACGTGAAGAAAAACTTCGCTCGAAACGTCGAAGTTCTCCTTGTATTTTTATGGTAGTTGCATTCCTAGCAATCCGTAGCAGTTTCTTATTATCGTCACTACCTATGCATTTTTGAGGTTAAAACTTTTAATCGCAAACCTCCATCCACTTTCGTGCCATTTTGTGCGACGCAACTTGCATGACCGATACAACTTTAATCTTTAATAAAATTTCTTTCGACACGGTAGCCTATTCAGTATAATATTTACAATCTGCTTTTCCGGTTCGAATTCGCGTTGAGAGGTCGAAGATTTACGATTTGAGTTTTATCTTTCAATGTACAATCTTATTTGATCAACCGTATGTCGGTTTTTCAAATCAAATTTAGGAATATATTCTATTTTTAGATGAATAATTTAGCAATTTATTTTATTTTTAGATGAACTCAAATCTAAACCAGCTATCAACTCGCTACGCGAAGGAACATCTTCAAGCTAAGTCGGTAGGAAAACATTCATCTCCCTGGTGTACACTATTTTGTGATCACAGTAGGAAATCTGTATCGATAAATTCTGAGTTTTGAAAGATTTGTAACAAATGTTCGAGGGAACAAAATTAATTTAGTGTTTACTTCAGTCAACTTACATATCCTTCATTATGTAGTCCAACATCGACCAACATGCAATGTTCACCAATGACCAACATTAGTGATACAATGTTTACCAATGACCAACATTAGTGGTACAATACTTTAGTGGTACAATGTTTACCAATAACTAACATCAGTGGAACAATGTTGAGCAGTATGACCAACATTGTTGGTACAATGTTGAGCAATGACCAACATTGTTGATACAATGTTCATGATCACCAACGGCTAACATTAGTGGTTGGAATGTTGAACAATGACCAACACTGTTGGTGCAATGTTGAACAATTACCAACATTAGTGATACAATATTGAGCAATGGCCAATATTGTTGGTACAATGTTGATCATTGACCAACATTAGTGGTACAATGTTGAGCAATGACCAACATTGTTTCGGATGTTACTCTGAGTGTGTATCCACAACGGGCAGGCTGAAACGTTTGCCTGCACTGTGAGTAACATCAGAAAGATTATATTCACCTGAGTACAAAACATCAAAACAAACTAAAAAAATACAGTGTCCAACATTGTTGGTACAACAATGTTGAACGATATTAGATGTTGGATGAAAATTTTAAACAAAGTCAAAACCTATCGAACTTCAGGCAACATTAACAACATATTTCAACGAAGCCAAGAACGTTGGATGATGTTGGATCAGCGTGTTAGCCTCGTCTGAAAGTGAGGTTTAGATTACAACAACCGCAAATTTTTCATTGTTCATCATTAGTACCCTCCCCATTATAAATATAGCCTAGTAGTGAACCTTCTGTAAATACGACGTTCAATAAACAAAAGAAGCGCACGGAACTTGTCCCTGTAAAAACAGTCGTCCTCAATAATTGACTTTACTTACACTAAATTCCATGCATTTGTTAAATATAGAAAGAAGAACTTATCTCTATCGTATTGGAATTACAAGATGCCTTGAAATTAGTCACTGACGATTAACTTCATGCGTTAGCGTGTTAATTGGCATATGGGTGGCATTAATATGGTACGGTTAAGAGTGGTGGTACATTTGGTGTCCAAGAAATTGCCATTCACGTCGGTGAATCTGGAATGAAACATGTCCAAAACATGAACAGTATTGGCATTGATAGTATTCAAGCTTCGCAAAGACAACTTACTCTAGATATTCAGCCCGAAATGACTGTACTCGCATATTCAGCACTGAGACGTGTCCGACCGATCTAATATTAGTGCGCCGAGTTTTGGTGGAACAAAAACTGTATGTGCAATGGAACGCGAATTAGCTAGAAAAGTGCTAATCGGGAAACAAGTAGCTTCAAGAAATCACAAGATTTTGTTGTGAGATAATTTAGTAAAGTAGTATTCTTTGTAATATACGTTTGTAGAATAGAATAGAAATTACGACCCAGTAAGATTTGTATAGTTGTACCTACTAGAGGGCATTTTTTTATATAGCAGATAAATTATTATACTAAAGTGATTTGTATAATGTTCGTTGATACATATCGTAAAAAATATTGACAAAAAGATATGTTTAGAGCTCAATAATCTCGTGGAATATGTGAGGATTATTTTACGTTTATTTGAACAACTGAAATCAAAGTTTATGAAAACTTGTGTTCTCGGAGTTTGTGTACACAGGTATAAAGTGTTCTGCTCTATGATTTGCATAGCAATGGCCTCAACGGACGGCGTGGAAGCGGTCAAGGGTTCTAATTCCGCTCGGCTATTTACCCCCGCGGTATGTGGAAACATAGCGAAGTGCAAAGTCATCTTCATGTTATGGATGTTCGACAGTATTCTTTGTGATGCGCATGTGCGACTCGTGTTACAGCGGACCGGCTTCCAGCTGTGTTGCTACACAATTTAACTCGTTTTTTGTTCGGGAATGCACGTTACGAATATTATTAGGTTACTTGCGGAATATAAAAATGATAAAATTTGACTCACAGAGCATGTCATAACGGAATTTTAGACTCGGGCTTTGAGGGTTACAAATATGTCGCTAACATGGAAAATATCCCGAGAATGGCCTTGCAAGAGCGGAAGTGCCAACGAAAACTGGATCTAGTGTGGTGAGTGATATTCTGAGGTTAGGTTGACTCCAAAATTTGAAAACTGCCTCCTGTTTCGTGGAAGATCAGAACGAAATCGAAACGCCAACGGCAACAGCGCATTTTATGTTCCAACAAAAACAGGCTCCTCTGGTCCACCGCCATCTCTGTTTCTTGAAATTCTTACTTGCGATTGCAAAAAGTAGAAAGCACAAAGCTAGGACTGGTCTTGCAAGAACTCACAGCAAAAAGGACTGGTCTTGCATTAGCTTTTACTACAGCATATGCTAATGAGGATTCCTTCATGCATATATGCATAAGTATATAATATGACCTCGTTTATTTCATGGTTTATTTACGCATTAACCAGGCTACGTTGATCGTCTTGTTATCTTATATAAGCCTTATCCACTTTTCTAGTTTCTTGACACACCTAAATTTCTGTGGTCGATTAGCGCAATCATGCTCTGGTAGACTTGCACTACCGAATAACGCATTCGTGGTAAGTCATTCGTGATAAGTCTTTCCATTCCTCTAGACAGTTTTAGAGTATTCCACCCAAGATACGCAACCATGGTTGTTTACCATTTACATGGAAAACCCATCCGGTTTGAAATTGTGCTAATACATGATAAGCAAAATTTCGGATAGAAAATCTCATTTGGATTATGCGCTTTCCATTTAGAGTGACTGACCGGAAGGCACTGAAGGGTTGTTTACCATTTACATGGAAAATCCATTCGGTTTGAATTAAATCGCGAAGAGCCTGGAACTGGTGAAAAAATAAAAAAGATGTAAATGGAACAAAATTTACCGGTTGAAACGTTCCAATTGGTAAGAGAAGACAACCTTTTCAAACAAACCGTTCATTCCGGAAAATTTCCGGTTGGGCCGTCGAAATATGCTTGTTCCATTTACTTTCCGTATGGAATCACCGGAATTTTCATATAAATGGTAAACAACCCGTATTGACGTTTTTAGTTTGTTATAAAAAAGAAGCACTGAACCGTGATAGTTAGTTGACTCAGTTGTTTCGTTGGGATATACATCGGCATACGCAAGCAAAGAAGCAAGAATTACATATTATAGAGTTATCGGTTTTTTATTGTACAGCCTTACAAGTCGAAAGTCTTTGTCGACAAAAGGTATTATCGGTTTATTATTCCTCTATCCTATTATATATCAATTTAGTTTACTCCATACATTGTTGTGCGAGTATATTTGCATAAATTGTATTTGCATGCGTTAGCTTGCTATTGTAACAATATTTTGCACTCTTTCTGTTTTGCCTTGCACAATGTTTGTGACCTGCATGCATGTTATAATCTACTCAATTTATTCATAACCTATTAAAAATCTGGTCTAGTGTACAGTATATAATATTTAACTGCAAACTATCACCATACCATACTACCAAAACTGTTCCGCTTACAATATATATACTTAAAATTTTCACTGTTTCTTTCTATTTTACGTCACGTTTATTAATACTCATAATTATATATGTCAATCTCTGCCCAAAACGCACGTAATGGCATTTCGGAGACGTTAGATTTAAAAATTCCCCGGGGGGGGGATGTTCCCGGACACCTCTACGAGGTCTCGCGCTTTTGGCTCTCGAGTTCCCTTTTCAAGATTCTGCCACGCCACGCCACTTTTCAGCCCTTTCGCGGCGCCCCTGTCAATGCCGCTAAAATGGCATTTCTAACCAGCGCAACCCATCGACAATATTTTATTTTAGCGTTGTCAACACGCATGATATTATAACTCAAAATGATTCGAGCAAAACCGGTCTTTTGTTAAAAGGAAGACTGGTTAATAATTAACAGAAATTGGTCCTTTTGAGTGGCATAATCGTTTGTCGTCATCGATCCGTGTTGTTGAATAATAAAAAAGTTGGGCGTGAAAATTAGTGAAGATAAAATTGCAGTTTGTGAGACTGAAGTCTGAAACTGCAGGTCTACGGAGCGGGAACTTTTCGGACTTGGACTCAGCGTGTTCGAAAGTGTTAGTCCCCGTAAAATTATTTCAGTTCCAAGACATGGTAAATGAAAGTGAACAACTCGGGACGCAGCAAACTGCCTAGCACGGTGTTGTGGAACAGTGCTTAAGAGGCTGTCTCTGTAAAAACCGCCCGCTCGAATTTCATTTCAAACATGATCTTCGCTAAAACTCTGGCAACTGGAAGGCTTTACCAAACATAAAATAAAAACAGTCTAGGTTTGGTTGAAAACGATTTTCCAGTCGCGCTGCAAATAACGAAATATTTTGCCCCCTTCAAGGCATGTTGGGACGTCTCGAAAATTGAAAATTACGCATTTTTCATTGATCCGTAAAATATTGTATTCCCGTCAACTAGCAATGAATTTTATATCATTTCACTCATGAAACTTTCTAGTTTTCTTGAAGACGAGGAATTTTTACCTAATATTAGTTGTAAAGGAAAAATTAAGCACAATGTAAAACCTACTTATCACTATAAATCAAAGAGTGGAAATGGCCTTGATTTAGATTCTATTTTTCAAACTTTGGGACCTTGTCAATCGCTCGGGCCTATTTTTAAAGGAAGTATAGTCCTTTGTTGGCAAATATATGCAAAAAAACCTGTACGATTTCAGTATTTCAAAAGTTATGGCCGTTTGTATCAACACACATGCGTGTATTTGCGATGAGTCGTCATATTGTAAAATCACTCTATCTCGTGCAGATTCTAACTTAAATGCAACA